TGAAGTCTCATAAAGGCACTAGAAAGGTGTTTCTTTCCACCTCTCCGGGCCTCCCTATTTCTGGGCAATGTACCGGCCCTAGACCAAGACATACCCATGAACCCTGCCTAGTCAGCAATACTGGAAAAGACAATGTTGAGCTAGTATTAGTCAAGGTGAAAGCAGTAGGTCAAGATGGACACAAGCAAGGCAGAAGAAAAGGCTTTATTTTTGTAAGAAGAAATTATCATGAAAGTTATATTTATAACTTTGTGTAACTCTTTTTAAAATATATATATATTGATTTCAGAGAGGAAGGGAGAGGGAAAGAGAGAGAAACATCAGTGATGAGAGAGAATCATTGATCAGCTGCCTCCTGTACATCCCCTAATGGGGATCAAGCTTGCAACCCAGGCATGTGCCCTTGACCGGAGACTCTTCAGTCTGCAGGCTGACACTATCCACTGAGCCAAACCAGCTAGGGCAGTTGTAAAACTTTTTTTTTTTTTTTTTTTTTTTTTGTATAACTCTTGACAAAATTTTAACCAAAGCCCTGAAACTTTTATTCATTTTTTATTTTATTTTATTGATTTCAGAAGAAGGGAGAGGGAGGGATAGGAACATCAATCATGAGAGAATCACGCCCCACACTGGGGATTGAACCCACAACCTGGGCGTGTGCCCTGACAGGAAATCAAACCATGACCTGCTGGTTCATGGGTTGTCACTCAACCATTGAGTCACACCAGCAGGCAAAACTTTATTTTTTAAATCCTCACTCAAAGATATGTTTACTGATTCCCTGATTGGAAATGGAACTGCATCCTTTCAGTGCATGGGTATGACACTCTGAATGATGCTCCAACCAAGGGCATTTCTCCTAAAATGCCTCTCAAACCTTTCTCCCCCATTTTCCAAACTCATCCATGTTTCACCAGGGAAACCCTTAGCTTTCCCACCCGTTCTAATCCCCACTCCATGTCTCTCAGGGGTCATATTTCTAAAGCAAAATTTTAACCAAGTCATTATCCTTCTTAAAAACTGTCCTCGATTCCTCATTTTCTGGACTTTATACAGCTTTATCTTTAATATCTTATCATCCAAATGCCTAAGACTACATACATTGTTTCCTCCCCACATGTTTATTCTTATTGTTCCCACTTCTTAAATTTCTTTGCCATCGCTGCCTGCTAAAATATAACCATCAAAGCTCAGCTCAAATGTGTCTCTTCTAGGAAGCCTTCCTTCATCTCTCCCCATTTTGAATTAATCTCTCCTTTGTGCTCAGTATTTTATAGGTTCTGCCTCTTAGAATAATCTTGTTTCTATGTATCCCCTTCTTGTTTTGAACTTGAAGGCATGGCTCATACTATATTCTTCTTGGTGTTCCCTGCATGCCTAGCACACAGACATGTTAATTTTAATATATCAAATATAGTGTAGTTTATCTCCCAACCAGTTGAAAGAAGAAATCAAACTGGTAGCAAAAATGGGTGGTGGTGTGAAACAGAAATTGGATAAGGGAGAGAACTTAGTATTACATTAGGAAGATAGCTGGTTTCTGATCAAAATCAGCTGCTGAAGATCATTTGTCAATTATGTCATTCACACATTAATGGTATATTAATTATACCGGGTCCTTGATGTCCTTGCTGTGATCTGAAACAATGGCTACTGAAGGGGAAATATTATATAAGGAAACCATGAACATGAGGTAAGCTTTCGGACTTGTCCTATGTGATACACTTGCATGTAACCCAAGTGAATTGGTGATAAAATGCAACAATAAAAAAGCACCTTGTTGTAGGTCCTGGAGATGAAATGGTGCCAAAAACCAACACCCCCACCCACCTGGAGCACAGGCAGTGCATCTGCTGAAATTAAGCAACACCTGGGGCTGAGTTTGAGCGGGTCCTAGTGGGATGCTAAGAGGGCTATGAGGCTTTCAGCCTTGACTTGACCTGGGCAATTTTTGCCTCCTAAAATTTTAAATTCTCCATGAACAGTGGCTATCTGACTGTGAAGTAGTCTCAATGGTGAAAGTCCTGCATCAAAAGAATCCCAAGTCTGGGGGAACGAAGTGGGTATCTGAATAAGAAATAGAAAATAAGTACGGTCTGTCAAACAGCAAGCAAATCTTTGGTGATTCAGAAGGATAATCCTCATAGCCAAGACTGCAAGCCTGTGCCCCCTAATTTACTCATGCTTAGGAAGTGAGTAGAAAGGCAAAAGGTCTGTGGAGGATTTTGTTGTAGCTTTTGGGCATTGTGGGTAGGTGTCAGGACAGAATTCTCATTTGGCACTCTAGAGCCTGGACATTTGTGTAGGGAATCTCAGAATCTCTGTCTCTGACTACTTTTTATGGGGTTGGAAGACACTCGGCAACAGTTATCTTGAATCCCAATAGGCCCTGCCAAAGCAAGCCACTCACTTTGTTTCCCACCATACCAGTCCAGTACTGGTGCTCTGTGATTTTCTTGGGGTGCTCCTTCTGCCTGCAATATTCTTCCTTCACCCCGTATTCACTGAATTCACATGCATATCTTTTTGAAGCAGTACTTGACCAAGAAATGAAAGTAAAGTGATTGATCATGTAGAATTTTACACAATCAATTGGTTAATTTTCTATTCAATTTCCTTTGATGACTGTTCCAAACTGTCCCCAGCCTTCACTCTTTCTGCCAAATGCAAACAGAGTGAACAAATGGTAACTGTAGTGGAAAGAGCACAGGCTTTGGAATTAGGCCAATTACAAATCCTAGCTCTGACACTCAAGTGATAGGACTGCAGCCAAGACATTTAACTTCTCTGAGCCTTAGTTTTTTCAAATGGAGATAATATGTGACAAATGTTAACTGGAATTATTGTGATGATCATTTTGCACCATATACAAAAATAAAATTATATTGTACACCTAAAATTAATATGTCCATTAAACCTCAATAAAAAAATGACAAAAGATTGGGATACTACTTTACTTTTTATTTATTTTTATATATTTTATTGATTTTTTTTTTTTTTTTTTTTTTTTTTTTACAGAGAGGAAGGGAGAAGGATAGAGAGTTAGAAACATCGATCAGCTGCCTCCTGCACACCCCTTACTGGGGATGTGCCCGCAAGCAAGGTACATGCCCTTGACCAGAATCGAACCTGGGACCCTTGAGTCCAAAGGCTGATGTTCTAACCACTGAACCAAACCGGATAGGGCATTACCTGTTTTATAAGGATTGTTATGAGGTTTCAACAAGAAAGTTTATGTACATTAGTGTATAGGAAAAGTGATCAATGTCGAAGGCAGGAGGGAACAGGACATAAAAACATAGGACTGTAATGCATTAAACAAGAGGTTGAATCAGTTAATTTGTAAGGTTCTAGATTAGTTGCAGTGAGGGATACAAAAGAAATTACTTCCATTTATAATGAAAATACAATCTGTCTAATATGGATTAAAGTAATTTATTTTGACAATGTCACGTTAGTTAATAAGAACACTTTACCATTCATTGCATTTTTGTTTATAAAGCCCTCTAAGATGGTGAAGATTACCCTTATAATTGTAGCTCTTAACACTGGAATTTAATCCAGTGTTGGTTCAAATGCTTAGATGAAGCCTGTTTTCAGGAGTCATTCCACTACCTTTATTGTGGGCATTGGGCCTTTCTTTCTTTCTTTTTTAAAAAAAATATATTTTATTGATTTTATACAGAGAGGAAGGGAAAGAGATAGGGAGTTAGAAACATCGATGAGAGAGAGTCATCGATCAGCTGCCTCTTGCACACCCCCTACTGGGGATATGCCCGAAACTAAAGTACATGCCCTTGACCGGAATCGAACCTGGGACCCTTCAGTCCGCAAGCCGACGCTCTATCCACTGAGCAAAACTGGTCCTGGCGGCATTGGGCCTTTCTTTACCTCTTCCTTCTCCCCTTTCCAGTTCTCACTTTTTTCTTTCCTGATTTCCTGTCTTGACCTGATCCTCCTAGCCTTCTGTCCAAGGCTGGATCACACCTTCGTTTTCCTTTTAAAGCATTCTGAACATTATAGGATCACTTATTCAATGAAAAATTATTGAGCACCGACCGTAACACATACCAATGGTAGATCTTACATGAATCACAAATCACTCCAATGGCATTTACATTTTCTCTTTTTGCCTCTCCTGGGAATCTTAGCTTTTAGATAAACGCCACAGTTCCCACTCCCTTAGCATACGTTTGAGTCTCAACCACGTTACATAATGCAACTCGGAGCCACCCCAAGGGCGCCGGTTCGAGACCCAACCCAACCCAACCTGAACTCCAACTCGAAATTTTCGGAAGAGAAATCAAGATCAGAAATGGGCCGAAACCGGTTTGGCTCAGTGGATAGAGCGTTGGCCTGCGGACTGAAAGGTCCCAGGTTCGAATCCGGTCAAGGGCATGTACCTTGGTTGCGGGCTCATCCCCAGTAGGGGGCGTGCAAGAGACAGCTGATCGATGCTTCTCTCTCATCAGTGTTTCTAACTCTCTATCCCTCTCTCTTCCTCTCTGTAAAAAATCAATAAAATATATATATTTTTTAAAAAGATCAGAAATGGCATTTTCAGGGCATTCCCTCGAGCCAACGTCCGCCCATCCCGTGCCAACGCAGAGAAACTTCCGTAGCGGAGGCCTTAGGAACATTCAGAGAAGACATCCTACGTCTGATTTCTCAACGAGACATTTAATTTTTTGTTTATCTGGGGAGGCGGAGATTTTTGTAAAGGGACAGGAAGAAAAACAACCGGTTGTTATGACAATCAAACGTCCGGAAAGCTCAGCCAATCAGCACGCGGGAGTGCCTCCCGCTTAGCCAATGGGAAGAGCGCACGGCCGCCCAATGGGGGCGCGAGCGGCGCGGCATTTGAATCCTGGAACCGGGCGACCTCGAAGGTCCCCGCGCTGCGGGCTCCGAGTGCGGACCCAACGGCGCCGCGGACCCTGAGCCCCCGTCCCCGCCGCGTCCCTCCTCGGGCGGCCGCACGCCTGCCGGCCCGCTCCGTCATGGCGCTGCTCCGACGCCCGGCGGTGAGTGAGCCCGGCCAACAGCCCGGGCCGCGGCCTGGGCCGCGCAGGCCCCTCTCCGCCGCCTCTCGCTTCTCCCTCCAGCTCCGAGGTGCTGGGGAATAGGACGTCCCAACCGACCCCCGTTTTCCTCTTCTTCCGGCCCCCCACTTCCCCTCCTTCTAACCCCCAGCTTTCCCCCTTCCTCCGGGGCCCGCTTCCCCGCGGCCTGTCCCGTTTGGCCGGCCTCCCCGGGCCTGGGTTCCGCCGGCCCGTCCCCGCCCCGGCGGGCTCTGAGCTGGGGAGGGGGTGGGAGTCCAGCCAAACCCCGGGAGGTGGCCCCTGTGAAGCGAGGATGGAGCTGGGCCTGGGACCCTGGGAGCCACCCGAGTGCTCTTTGTCGTTAAGAGAGCCATCAGATAGCTGCTTTCTGGACACCCGCCTCCTGGGGTTTCCTTCCTCTGTTCGCAGGCGCCTTCCCAGCTGGGATCCGCGGTGGGGATGGGGAGAAGGATGGGAGAAAATTCCCGTGGTCAGTAAGATGTTCTCAATGTTTGAGCAAGCTTGATCTCATTTATTTCATCTTTGCAAAAACCGGAGCGTGAACGGTGTTTTGGATATTTTCCCTGCGGGCTTGAATTGGTCTGGGATCTACTTTTTTCCTTTGCTGCCGAGTTCCAACTTCCTGGCTGTAAGGCTGGTTTTAAAAAGCTGGATAGAAATTTAACGGCATTACCAGGCTTCTACCTATACGCATGAAACTTTCAAACACTTTAAAAAGTTGGCTGTTAGCCCTCGCTGGTTTGGCTCAGTGGATAGAGCGTCAGCCTGCGGACTGAAGGGTCCCAGGTTGGATTCCAGTCAAGGGCACAAGCCCGGGTTGCAGGCTTGATCCCCAGGAGGGGGCCATGCAAGAGGTAACCAATCAATGATTCTCTCATCATTGATGTTTCTGTCTCTCTCCCTTCCTCTCTGAAATCAATAAAAATATATTTTTTAAAGAAGTTGGCTTTTACTGTTAGAAAAATTGAACGGTATAATTAAAAAAAAACAAACCCCACACGTTTTTATTGATTTCAGAGAAATAGGGAGAGGGATAGAAACATCAATGATAAGAATCATTGATTGGCTGGTTGCCTTCTGCACACCCCCTCCTGAGGGATGGAGCTGGAAACCCTGCTTGTGCCCTGACTGGAATCCAAAGGAAAACATGGTTCATGGGTCAGTGCTCAGCCACTGAGCCACACTGTTGGGGTTGAACAGTATGACTTTTGAGAATCCTATTAAGTTGAATACATTCTGTTTTTACTTCCTACCCTTTAAAAAAAAAATTATATATATATATATATATATATATATATATATATATATTATTGATTTTGTACAGAGAGGAAGGGAGAGAGATAGAGAGCTAGAAACATCGATGAGAGAGAGTCATCGAACAGCTGCCTCTTGCACACCCCCTACTGGGGATATGCCCGCAACCAAGGTACATGCCCTTGACCGGAATCAACCCGGGTCCTTTCAGTCCCCAAGCCGATGCTCTATCCATTGAGCCAAACCGGTTTCGGCTACTTCCTACCCTTTTGTGATTGAAGTTTAACTGACAATATATTTTGTCTAATCTACCTCATAAGTTCTTTTATAGTCAAACTAGAGGCCCGGTACACGAAATTCATGCACGGGGTGGGGGGTCCCCTTAGCCCAGCCTGCACCCTCTTCAATCCTGGACCCCTCGGGGGATGTCTGACTACTGGTCTATAGTAGGACATCCCTCTCACAATCTTGGACTGCTGGATCCTAATTGCTCACTTGCCTGCCTGACTGGTTGCCCCAACTGCACCCCCCACCCCCACAAGCCTGGTCACCCCTAACTGCCCCCCCCCACAGCCTAGTTGCTCCCAAATGCCCCCCACCCCCCACCAGCCTAATCTCCCAACTGCCCCCACCACCCTGTTTGCCCCTCACGGGCCCCCTGCTGGCCTGGTTTGCCCCATGCACCCTGCTTGTTCAGTGGTTTGGTTGTCCCTTGGGCTGACCCTGTAGCTGGGGGGCTGAGGGGACTGGGTGCAGCCATCTTTGAGGGCTTGACAGTTAATTAGCATATTCCCTCATTTGCTCTGGGTGCTGCCTTCTTTGTGAGGGTGTGATGGTCCATTAGCATATCCCCTCTTTATTAGATAGAATTCTTTTTATCTAGCTGGGCTTGAGTTTTCCCTTGCCCCTTCTGTCCTGGTAGGCCCATTTAAACCCCCTGTTGGGAGATTCTTTAAGATTAGGACTCCCAATTTCTGGGGAATAGGATGTGTTGTCTTTTTCCTGTGACACGCTTTTTACCCCTATAATAAAATTAAGTTTCTTGGGTATGAATTTCTTTTCCTAGCAGGTTTTGTTTCTAAGCACATTTTGTCTAAAACAGGTTAAGGCCAACTAACAATTGTTATTTCATGTATTATAATTCCCACTCTATCTGAATTTCAGAGTAAAACTATTTTACCCATAAAAACAACTTTTTTTTCTTCTAAGTAACTTCAACATAAGAGAAAGTCCATGCTATGATAACCTCATTTTAAAAGGCTTTGTATCTACAAGACCATGTCTACACAAGCACTTCTTATTTCTAGAGTGGTATTTGAATCAAAGCTAGTGTAGCTTTGAAACAGCCTATTGTAACTTAAAAAAAAAAATCCTCACTGGAGGATGTGTTTTTATTGATTTTAGAGAGGAAAAGAGAGAGAGAGAGAGAGAGGGGAGAAGAGGGAGAGAGGGGAAGAGAATCATTGATCGGTTGCCTCCTGTATGTACTCTCACTGGGGATTGAACCTGCAGCCTTTTGATGTACAGGACAATACTCCAACTGAGCCACCCGGCCAGGCTTGCTATAACTTTTAATATTGTGTCTTAATTGCACTTGTGACTTATCTGTGTAAAGGAAGATTTTCAAATATTCCATGTAACCTTTTATATATAGAGTTATGTAACAAGTGACATGGGTACTATATGAGAAATAATCACTGACCTGTTGAGCTCCTAATAGCATTATCCTATCTTATAAAGAGGAAATATGCTAATTGATCCTCACACTGTTGCAAAGATGGTAGCACCCACAGCCAATAAGGAGAGAATATGCTAATTGACTGCCCTGCCCTCAAGATGGCAGCACCCACAGCCACAAGATGGTGGCATCCAGTCCCCTCAACCCTGCTGGGGCTGCAGGCATGCAGCAAGGCCTCCTCCAAAGTTCCCCCCTCAGTCTCCCAGCTGCCCATGGCTGGCCCGAGGCGCAGGCAAGCCTCAGATGGTGGCTTCCCAGCTGCCCAAGGTCAGCCTGAGGCCCAGGCAAACCTCAGATGGCAGCTATCCAGCTGTCCAGGGCCATCCGAGGTTCAGATAACCAGGGCCGGCCAAAGCTTGCACTGCCTAGCAAGGTGTGATGGGGCATCCCTTTTCCTGATCACCAGGTCACCTCCTGCCCCTGAAAGCTCCTGGACTGTGAGAGGGGGCAGACTGGGCTGAGGGACCCTGCTTCCAGTGCATGAATTAGTTATAGATAAGATAGATTAGTGATCTTACTCATTTAGAGTGATTTTATCAAACAAAATAGTAATTTTAGATTTCTTAAAATGTACTTTTTTCTCTTGCCAATAGATCTCATCATATTAATCTCCTAAAGCAATTTTGAATTTGGTTATGTGACATTAGCCAAGTGTTTTCAATTGTTCCAACTCTTTTAAAATTTTTTTTAGGTCTCTACTGATTTGGAGAACGTTGACACAGAAGTTAATTCCAAAGCGAAGAGTCATGTGACTCTCCGGAGAGCAGTTTTAGAAGAAATTGGAAATAGAGTTACAACCAGAGCCACACAAGGAGCTAAGGTAACAACCTTGAGGACTGTATGGGCACCCACTGGAGCAACATTGGCTGTCCCCCTAGTCACGCATCTTTCCCTTATAGAAAGCTCCGAACACCAAGGCACCTGTTCAGCCCAACAAAACAACAAATGTCAACAAACAGCCCAAACCTGTTGCTTCTGTGAAACCGGTACAGATGAAGATGTTGGCGCCAAAGGTAGGAAGTTCTGAATTTACAAATGTACTTCATGAAGTGGCCTGTTTTTGGCTAGGCTGCAGGGTACCTTTTCCGCGCTGTACCTGTTGAAGAACATTCACAGTGAGAGCTCTACTTTGAAATAGCATTGTAAGAAATGAGTATATATGCATTTTAGTGATGACACCATAATTTAATTTATGACCTTGAATAATAGCTAATTACATTAATACCCAAATAAATTTAGTGATCTCAGAGTGAAATTTGGTAGTTTCTGTTAAAATAATCCACCGCAAGAATGAACTTGCCCAGGAAGACTATGGAAGCTCACCAATCTGTGACTGGTTAGCTCAGCCTGTTTCCCTTCCACCATGTTCAATTTCATGCTATGCTGTCATCCCTAGATTATATACATTCATGTGATTAGCATGAGACTGGCTCTGTGGAAGGTGCTGAAAATACAACAATAACTACTTAGCTCTTTCCAGTTCAAAGATATGTATATATTATTGTATGAAGTTTTTTGAGGTGAAACATAGGTTAGATGAGAAATATATACATCAAACACTTACTATATGCATCCAGTTATGTTAAGGCTGATAAAGGGGCATCTTGCCTTCACAAAGCTTGTCTAGAAAGGGCATATGTACCTGAAAATTAAATTAGTAATCCTAGGAAACCATCCTACATGCACTTCATAGAATAAGTGGCATTTGTAAGGATAGGGAGAAGCTGACAGGAAAAAGCATCTTTGTTGTGGGGTGGGCGTGGGGGTGGGGGAAAACAAAGCAGAAGCAAGAACCAAGGCACCATATGTGTTTTGGGTGAGGAGTGTACAAGTGTAAGTTGGGTCAGGAGATTGTTGTGAGGAAGCAGAAGATAAAGTTGGGAGAAGGTTACAGTTGTATTTGAAGGCCTTGGAATTTGGATTTTATTCTGAAGGCAGTCATTTTTAACTTTTTTTTTTTTTTATCTCATGGCACACATAAACTAATTGCTAAATTCTGCAGCACACCAAAAAATACATTTTTTTCTGATCTGACAAAAAAAAAAGTATGATTTTGATTTACTCACACCGAATGGATATTGTTTTGTTGACTGTTGTCATTTTTTATTTGACTGTCAGGGAAAAGAGGTCAGTGTCCCTGATTAATCAGGAGTTGCATGTTTTAAAAACTCCTACGGCACACTGGTTGAAAATCGCTGCTGTAAGGCAGTGAGGAATCTGAAAAGTTTTGAGGAGAAGGAGTGATGACGGCTGGGTAGGGTGGGAGAAAGGGCCATAAATGAGGAGGAATTGCAATTGGCTAAGCTGGAGCTGATGAGGGTCTTGAAGCAGCCTATACGGGTGCTGGGAGACATCATCAAACGTGTCAGGATGTACCAGGGCTCCTTTCCCAGACACATCCTGTAGGTGGAAGGAAGTCTTTGGATATGTTGCTTGGAGTGGAGGAGTGAGATCCTTAAGCACTGAGTAAGAAACCAGTTAGGAAAAATTTAATAAAAAATGGGGCAGTCAGGAGAGAGAGAGAGCTTAGGGGTTGGTGTCTTGTTTGGCTTTAGATGTATTGAGGTGACAGGAAACATCCTCTGGGAAATATAGTTAGAAATGTGGACCAGCAACATCTGAAGGAGGGACAGACTTGGGAAGCTTCTACCTGGAAGAGACGGTGGCAAGATGTTGCTGTACATAAAACAAAAAAAACTTTAAGAGCTATAAAGCTCAGAACAAATACTCAGATCAGCCTTCCTTTAATGGGCCTTTCCCGGGAGGTTTCCAGTGGCCTCACCGCCAGACCCAAAGCAGCTTTTCAGATCTTGAGCTCTTGACTATGACTAAGCGTTTATATGGATGACTGTGTATGTGGTTCCTCCTGCACTACAGGAGGGCCTTTTGTCAGTACATTTCAGATGGTTATTCTCCATAACTAGTAAATCTGTTTTTAAAAGTTTATCCTAAGAAAATGATTGCAGAGACAATTGAGGACTTTTAAATAGTGTTGTAATGAATTTTTCATAATAGAGATATATTCTTTATTAAGAGATCAGTTAAATCCATTCAGTGAAATGCTGTGAATACCATGTTTTAATGGAATACTTAAAGATGCCAAAATGCGCCGAAACCGGTTTGGCTCAGTGGATAGAGCGTCGGCTTGGGGACTGAAGGGTCCCGGGTTCGATTTTGGTCAAGGGCATGTACCTTGGTTGCAGGCAATATCCCCAGTGGGGGGTGTGCAAGAGGCAGCTCATCGATGACTCTCTCTCATCGATGTTTCTACCTCTGTATCTCTCTCCCTTCTCTCTGTACAAAATCAATAAAATATATTAAAAAAAAAAAAAAAGATGCCAAAATGCATGTTAAGCCCTGGCTTGTGTGGCTCAGTAGGTTAGGCGTCCTCCTGTGCACAAAGGGTTTCCAGTTCAATTCCTGGTCAGGGCACATGCCCGCTGTGCACTTGATTTTCAGTGGGGGGGCCTGCATGAGGCAGCAAATGGATGTTGCATTCTCACATCGATGTTTCTCTCCCTTCCTCTCTCTCTAAAAGTCAACAAACTATTCTTTTTTAAAAAATGTATGTTACATTAGAAAACAGTCAAATTATTACATGATATGATGCAATGAAACCCCAAATTTGCTTTTAAGAATGTTTTTATATGCAAAATATTGATGATACTTTTACTTTTTAGTATTATGTTGGGCTTAAGATTGATTTTTTATTTTCTTCTTACAAATTGTCAGACTTTTCACCATAGGTACATATTACTATTTGAATTGAAGAAGGAAAAAAGACAAAACAAAAACAAAAATCCAAAAAAACCCCGAAGAATCAAAAATATGAACAAAACAAAGGAGGAATTCCCTTCAGAACTCCACTGAGTTCCCTTTTCTCCACATCTTGGCTCACTCCTTTTTCTCTAGCTTCCCGACAAAACTGAGGCCACTGTGTTTCAGATAAAGAATTATGGGCCTGTAGCTCACTTTATCTAAAAGTAATTTCTGAGATGGAAACATGCTTCCAGTTTCAGAATACATTGGGGATTCTGAAAAAAAAAAAAAAAAAAAGAAAAAAAAGAATGATTTTGAACAAGAATTGTTTCCAACTCAAAGGCACTTTTCTCTGAGAAAGAGAACAGAAGTGACCATGACATCTGCAATGCAAGGGAAGCCCCCCCTGGAGGTTAGCCCCTCTGCTCGCCTGTCTCTCGTCAGCCCTCTAGCTTTTGCTCTGCCTTCTGCTCCATCTGCAGAGTCATTGTTGCTCCGTACAGGTGTTTAAAATACCTGTCCCTACAGCTGCTTAAAATGCCAGTGGAGCACAGGTGTCTAATTCCATTCCACAGCATATTACATCCCCTAAAGCTGAGCAGGGAAACCGATTTCACCTTTCTGCAGTTCTGTGTGCCTATGTGTTCATGAGTACACAGTCTGCTACAAATTGGGAACTGATCAGAATCAAGTTTTACTTGGAGTCTTTCCTTGTTTCACTTAATTGACATTGATTTATGATGTTTGGCATCATAAATTAAATAAATAAATAAACTTTGGTCCTAACTGGTTTGGCTCAGTGGATAGAGCATCGGCCTGCGGACTGAAGGGTCCCAGGTTCGATTCTGGTCAAGGACATGTATTTTGGTTGCTGGCACATCCCCAGTAGGGGGTGTGCAGGAGGCAACTAATCGATGTTTCTCTCATTGATGTTTCTAACTCTCTATCCTTCTCCCTTCCTCTCTGTAAAAAATCAATAAAATGTATTTTTTTAAAAAGAAAAAAACTCTGGCCTGGCTGGTGTAGTTCAGTGGTTGAGTGTCAACGTATGAACCTGGAGGTCACAGTTTGATTCCTGGTCGGGGTACATGCCTGGGTTTGATCCCATTGTTGGGTGTGCAGGAGGCAGCCGATCAATGATTCTCTCTTGATGTTTCTCTCCCTCTATCCCTCTGAAACCAATAAAAACATTTTTTTTTTTAAAGAAGCAACTCTGTGTTTTACTAAGATTTGTGTAAATACCTATATATTTGCCTATCGGTATTAATCGTTCTCTCAACAGGCCCAGCTCACTCAGTGTCGGTACTCGGAGAACTTCGGTAGCCTTGACTCACACTTGATCAAACAGAAGTTCAAGTTCAGCAAAATCTCTCATCCTCATTGTTTGATGAACTCATTTGTTCATCTAACTTGAAGGTTTTAATTCTTTAGGCTGATTTTGTCATTCAGAGGTTTTTTGCTGCGTAACTAGCTGATACAGTTTTTTATTTTACATGCAGCAGCCCTGGGCAGAGGGCCCCACAGTTGGTTTATAGGGCTTAGGCTACTTGTTGCATGATCCTTAAGAAGGATTCTGGAATAATTAAGCTGGAGTCCAAAAGGAATGCTTTCAGAAAATTATGTTGGGGGTTTTGGGATAAAGCTAAACTCAGGTGTACTTCTGAACAGACATGAGTAAACATTTCACGCTGCTAAGGCAGCACATGGCAATAATCTCTGCTTCTTTACACCAGCTTCCTGGAACTGACTGCCCTTCCTGGGGAGAGTAAAAATGCTTATCCTTGAAAAAGGTGACCTTACACTAAGCTGCATGTGCTTATTAAAACATGCATTCGGTTCTAGTCACTCTTGCTCGGTTCCTTCAGTTAGTTCAGTTGCTTTAGGACAAACCTAAACTCCTTCGGTAGATACTTGCTCATCTTTCCAGCACATGTTTGCTACCTCACGTTCTATCTCCCGCCTTCCCAAATCAGTGTATAGTCCCCTCACTTGCCTTTAACTGTTGGCTTCCACTGGGACTTTGTCCTGGTATGCCTTTCCCTACTCATTTTCCTGAAGGACTTCCCCTCTCTGGTAACTGTCCCTAGGTTTCTTCCCAGTACCCCAAGTAACATTTCTTATTTATTGTAGCCCCTTGAAATTTTTATATTCTTGAATAAATGTTATGCCTACCAGCATACCTCTTGCTCTCCTGGCCCTTACTTGGTTTAATAACTTTGATTTAAGAGGGAAAGGTCTGTTTTAAATTGCTATAAATATTTTGTTGTTAATGTTTTATTCTTTTCTAAGATTGGAAACTGTAATCATTGAGCTTTAATGTAAATCAAAATTGTTTATTATACAGCATACTCTTTCTATATTTATTACTTTACTACATATTCTTTACAACGTAGCAGTTCTGTTAGGTTTTACTTTGAGAAGTACCTCTCATTCTTTTAAAAAAGTAATGGTTATTTATACTTAATTACTAAACACTTGCTTTAACTTAAAATATTTTTAATGTGTGATTTAAAATATCACCCCATCAACATAAGAAAATAATTAGTGGGTGTGTACTTGCTCGGGCTTTGCTTCCTTCTCCTATTTTATTCATAGGCTGGAATGTGCTTTTCTGCTTTTTAGCTGTCAAACATTTTCTCAGTTTAGAATAAATTAGTTGGAGAGAAGAAAACATTACACTGGCAGAAGAGGCTAATGTGAACTGTCAGCTCCAGTAATCTCTGGACCCAGGTGTCTAAGCTTCTTTCAATAAATATTCATCAAACACCTACTGTATGTTAGGGATGACAAAAGTGTTTGAGATATTATACCTTAGTGAACGTAAATAAATATAGGGATATAGAGCTCACATTCCTGGAGAGGTAGACAGAAAATAATACATACCATACATAAGTAAACTCTATAATATAATAAGTAATGTAATATATAGAAAGTTAGAGGTTATATGGAAAAAACACACTAAGAGAAATGAAACACATGTGGTGGGGGTCAGAAGCAGATGGCCATTTTAAGTAGGAGTCAGGAAAGACCTCAATGAGAAGGTAGCATTTAAATAAAACTTGAAGAAGGTGAGGGAATTACCCATCGAATACAGGAACAAGAGCATTCTGGGAAGTGGCAGCCTGTTGACAGGGGGAGGCTGTAGGCTGGAGTGAAGCAAACCCAGGGAGAGGAGCAGGAGGCGTGTCACAGGGAACAGGGAAGATCTGGCCCTGCAGAGCGGGGAAGCCGATGTGAAGACTTAGGGTTTCACTTTGAGTGAATTAGAGAATTTTAAAGAGGAGGCTATCTCTAGAGACTTCATCTACTACATCATGACTTATTCACCTGAAATTTGTTGTTTTGGCTTTAACATTTTATTGATTAATGCTTGATTTTAGAGAGAGAGTGACAGAGACAGAGCGAAACATCGATTTGTTGTTCCACGTGTTTATGCATTCATTGGTTTCTCCTTGTATGTGCCCGGCCCGGGGATAGAAACTGCAACCTTGGCATATTGGGATGATGCTCTAATCAACTAATCTGCCCGGCCAGGGTTATCTGATACTTTTAAACCAATTGGCTCTGCACGTATTTGACGAAGGCTGCTCCTAAAGCGGTGATGCATGCACTTTAATTTTGTCGATGTAGGAGCCTCATCCTGCACCTGAGGATATCTCCATGAAGGAAGAGAACCTCTGTCAAGCTTTCTCCGATGCTTTGCTCTGCAAGATCGAAGATATTGATAATGAAGACTGGGAGAACCCTCAGCTCTGCAGCGACTACGTGAAGGATATCTACCAGTATCTGAGGCAGCTCGAGGTGAGTGGTCCTCTGTGTTTTGCTTGTGTAAATGTTGAATGCACCACACGGCTGGGAAGGAAACGAGGTCAGCTCTTTAAACTTTTAATCCTCCCAACAGGTTCTGCAAACCATAAATCCACATTTCTTAGATGGAAGAGATATAAACGGACGCATGCGAGCCATCCTGGTGGATTGGCTGATCCAGGTCCATTCCAAGTTCAGGCTGCTCCAGGAGACCCTCTACATGTGCGTCGCCATTATGGATCGATTTTTACAGGTGAGTGTGGCTGCGGGGACTTGGGACCAGGGCTCACAGAACATCGAGTTTATGGGATGCCAAGATGGGGTAGCTCTGAAGAAAAGACCAAAAGCCCATTTATGAGAAGACAGAGAACTTCAGAAGCTAGGATGGGAAGCTCTCCAAGTGTGTCAAACCTGTGGGGGGCATTTTAGTTAGGCCAGCCGGCTGAACAGTGCTTGGGGAAAATGGCATTGCCACCGTCACTCCTGAGGGAGGTGTGCCAGCAGATGGTCTGTAGTCAGTCTGAAGCGTGTTGGGCTGTGATGCTGGCTTTCCTGGCCTGCTTGCAGTTTCCATAGTGTGGTATTCTTTGGTGAGCTTCCTCTGAAAAGTGAGGAGTTTGGTTAGAGAACTGTTTTTTTTTTTTTAAATATATTTTTATTGATTTTTTAGGAAGAGAGAGGGATAGAGAGTTAGAAACATCGATGAGAGAGAATCATCGATCAGCTGCCTCTTGCACACCCCCTACTGGGGATGTGCCCACAACCAAGGTACATTCCCTTGACCAGAATTGAACCCGGGACCTTTCAGTCCACAGGCCGACGCTCTATCCACTAAGCCAAACCTGGTTTCGGCCTTTTTAAAAAAATATGTTTTATTGATTTTTTAGAGAGGAAGGGAGAGGGAGAGAGAGTTAGAAACATCGATGAGAGAGACATCAGTCAGCTGCCTCCTGCACACTGCCGACTGGGGATGTGCCCCCAACCAAGGTACATTCTGGTCAAGGATGTGCCCTTGACCAGAATGGAACCTGGGACCCTTGAGTCTGCAGGCTGACGCTCTATCCACTGATCCAAACCGGTTAGGGCAAGGTTAGAGAACTTTTAAATTTCCAACCAGGTGTGGCATTGAATCATGGTAGAAATTGAGGAGGCAGAACTTTTTATAAAAGGGTGGGGGTGTGTGTGGGAGTGTATTAGAATGTGAAATCTCAACTGAGAAATGTAAGAAACTAAGGGGAGAGGCAGAGTGATTATCAAAATACTTATCAATTGGTAACTCAAAAACACCAACCGCTTAGAAGGGCATGTACCTTGGTTCCGGGCACATCCCACAACAAAGGTGGCTGATCAATGTTTCTCTCTCATCAATATTTCTAACTCTCTATCCCTCTCTCTTCCTCTCTGTAAAAAATCAATAAAATATATTAAAAGAAAAAATATATTCCTCATCCTTACGAGGCCATTAAATTCCTGCTTTTTGGCTTGGCCTCACGCTGACCCAGACCATGCTGAGTGCCACGTGGGGGCTTCCCCAGGCACTCCAGCCAGGACAATGGCCTAGGAGCAGTGACTGGGAGCTTCGTTGTCATGCATAATTCTTCTCCACTCAGCAATTGAGTCCTCTTGGACCGGTGTCTGAATCTCTTATCAGGCCATCTGCTTTTACGTTGGGGAAAATACATATTTCCTAGGGTTTTTGATCCGATGAGGTGATGGTTAGAATCTTAGCATTGTGCCTGGCATGTCGCGAGTACTGACTGTTAACGTTTAGGCTTCTGATGTGGGAGAGTCGGTGTGCACATCTCCAGCACTCGGCTCCCTCTCACTCGCTTCCACCCGGATTTCCAGTCTTCTTGTTCAGTGTGACTTGGACACGTTCTTCTCCAATTAGGTTCAGCCAGTGTCTCGTAAGAAGCTTCAGCTGGTTGGGATTACAGCCTTGCTCTTGGCCTCCAAGTATGAGGAAATGTTTTCTCCAAATATAGAAGACTTTGTTTACATCACAGACAACGCGTATACTAGTATCCAAATCCGAGAAATGGAAGCTCTGATTTTGAAAGAACTGAAATTTGAGTTGGGTCGGCCTTTACCACTACATTTCTTAAGGCGGGCATCGAAAGCTGGGGAGGTAAGTGCCTCCAATTCTGTAGGAGACTTTATTTTGCCACTTGTTGTCTCAGCCCAGAAACATTGATCCAATTAAAGTGAAACTTACAGGAAACATCTTTTAGATGAGTCCTAATACTTATTGCATCAGCTCTTAAGAGAAATGACCTCACATTCTGTGTTTGTGACATACTGTGGAGCAGAACGGTTCCTAGGAAGGAAAAGTGAGTTTAGTGGATTTGTGTTCTGAGGCCTCCACCCAGAATTTTGCAATACAGTAACTGTGCTGCTTCCTGTCCCTGGCTGTCCTTTCGTAGGTTGATGTTGAGCAGCACACTTTAGCCAAATATTTGATGGAACTGACTCTCATTGACTACGATATGGTGCATTATCATCCGTCCAGAGTGGCAGCGGCTGCTTCCTGTCTGTCCCAGAAGGTTCTAGGCCAAGGAAAATGGGTGAGTGTTGGATTTAACAAGAAATTTGTCAAGTCATATTTAGGACCTCTTGGGAGGAAAAGCATTATCATTTTTGCAACTTTAGTATTAAGCAATTGTCCAAAGGCATAAGAAAGCTGCTTGGAATGCTCCAGATGGAGAGAGTAGGTGAGGACACCATGGTACACAATGCGTTACAGAGTTATAAAGAATGACCAAGGCCCTGGCCAGTTTGTTCAGGTTACACCATCAACCGTAGGACTGAAAGGTCTTAGGTTTGATTCCAGGTCGAGGGCACATACCTCGGTTGCAGATTCAATCCCCGGCCTTGGTTGGGGTGCCAGTAGGAGGCAACCAATGCTATGTCTCTGTCACATGGATATCTCTCTCTCTCTCTCTCTCTTCTATCTCTCTCTCTGTCTTCCTCCCTCCCAACCATCCCTTCCACATTCTCTAAAAATCAGTGGAAAAAATATTGTCCTCGGGTGAGGATTAAGAAAACAAATAAGGAAGGCCACCAACAATTGATAGGCTAAGATTTCTTGGATATTTTGTTAAGTGAAAAAAGCAAATTGTGAAGCACACAAGACAAAGCAAGGCCAAAGCTCAGCTGACTCACCAGTATAGATAAAATGAGCCACTTTTAGATTCATACTAGGAGCCAAAGATGCTAGTCTTGGTCCCTGTCTTGCTCGCCAAAGAGAACAACATGGAAACAGGGGACTGTGTGACTGCAGGGCAGGGCATGGGATGCCGTTTGTGCAGGAGCCTATTCTGGATTGTCACCAGGCAGTTGTATAGTCAGTAGCTGAACCTGAGAGCACAGAGCAAGAGCCTCCTAAGAACCCAGGAGGGTATGAGGAATGGTCTCCTAACAGCCTCCCAGGGGAGATAGGGAGGTGAGTGGGAGCTAACTTAGAGGCAGCTCCTCCCAAGCTGGCCATCCCCTTGTTCCGGGAGGGTCACAAGACAGAGAAGCTGTGGCTCAGGCCTCTGCCTGCATGGCCCATGTGACACATGCAAGATACCAAGGCATCATGGCAGAGCTGTTTCCTCCATACAGGTGTGTATAGTTAACATTTTATGTAAGAAAGAAGGGAAATAAGAGAGTATATGTATGTGTGTTTATGTATTTGCTAAGTTTTTTTTTTTTTTAAATATATATTTTATTGATTTTGTACAGAGAGGAAGGGAGAGAGATAGAGAGTTAGAAACATCGATGGGAGAGATCAGCTGCCTCTTGCACACCCCCCATCGGGGATCTGCCCGCAACCAAGGTACATGCCCTTGACCGGAATCGAACCCGGGACCCTTCAGTTCCCAAGCCGACGCTCTATCCACTGAGCCAAACCAGTCCCAGCTGTATTTGCTAAGTTTAAAAAAAAATAAAGGCAGTAGACCAAAAAGGAGTGTAAATGGATACCCACAGGTTTAGGTGGGAACAAGGAAGAAGGTGGAGGATGGGAGCAGGATTTATGGCTATAATTTTTATTAACTTGTATACAATATAATGTAACTTTTTAACTTTTGAACAATGCAAATGTTTTATGCAAATCATAAAATGGAATTAAGAAGAAACAATGTCACTATCAAATTGGTAACAGAACATAGAGAAGAATTAATTCAAACGTCTTTTGAACCCAGCATTCTGACTATTGCATTCTTAGTGGGATTCAAAGTTAGACAAAACAAAGGACCAGAAAAGGCAACATACTTACAGGTTACTTAGGAAGTTGGTTAATAATCTGTTATTATAATTCTGAAACTATTTTTGTATTGTAGGATAAATAAATAAGTATTTCTGTTATTAATGATGTAAAATGTTCACTATAAGTAGAGAAAATATTGTTAGCAATTAAAAACTAAAGGGAAAACTCGATAATATTAAATCTGTTTTGGAAATGTCAGTAAACGCATAATGAGAGAGCCGAGAAACAATGGTAACAGTCAACATACCTAGTAGCCACATCTTGATTACAACTAGGGCTCCTTTAAGAAGGCTGATTACAGGGCGATGGCAGAAGTACAGAATGAGCCAGATAGCAAGCAAAGATCAATGCAGTGGGTTACATGAAAAGGAAGTGGGAGCCCTAACCCGTTTGGCTCTCCCTGTGTTCTGGAAGCTGATTTCATAGTACCAATACTTGTGTGTTATTTCAGGATTTGATTCTACTTAGTTATTTTATTAGTTTTTAAATCATTTTTAGTAGTAAGATTAAGTTGTGGTTTATTTTCCCAGTAACATTGTACATGTGAAAGAGATGTACTTCAGCTTTTATTTATTTATTTAATATTTTATCGTTTTTTTACAGAGAGAAAGAGAGAGAGGGATAGAGAATTAGAAACATTGATGAGAGAGGACATTGATCAGCTGCCTCTTGCACACCTCCTACTGAGGATGTGCCCACAACCAAGGTACATGCCCTTGACCGGAATCGAACCTGGAACCTTTCAGTCCACAGACTGATACTATCCACTGAGCCAAACCGGTTTCAGCTGTACTTCAGCTTTTAGTATTTATTACAGAACTGAAGTAGTCAGTTCTTCATACATGAAGTCTTATTTTCAACCAACAACTGTCTTTTGCTTGAGTTTTGTCCTCAGGAAGGCTGGGTGTGGGGCTTCTCTGAGTGCTCTGTGTTCTCCAGGGCTGTGAGAGTCCTGGGTGGCCTTTGCTCTTCCCGGTTCAGTAAATTAGGTTGCTACCTGTGGCCTATCTGCAGTCATAATCCTGGACCTCTGACTGACAATATGTCTTTTGAGCTCCCCACCAGCCACTGCCACTCTGGGCTTTGATGGGGGATGTGACCTGTCCTAGTCCCAGGTCTCTGCCATGATTGTGACAGGCGTTCCTTTGTGGGTTTTGTTTTTCCTCTGCCCCATTCGCCATCCCCTTTCAGTGTGGTGGGAGGGGTAAGCATGAAGCTTTGTTATGTGAAGTACCCTACGTAACCCGAGGAACCTTTTTTAAAGAAATAATGATAGGGGGACTTTGGCTTGATTTAGCTGAGAGCCGCACCAAGCCCTGGCTCGGTCCTGTGCGGTCAGGCATTCTCTATGTGCTGGCTGCTTTGCTGGGACCGCGGTAGTGGCGAGGGCTGTGATGGCATTTCCAGGAGGGCTGTCAGCATGAGTAAGATGGGCTCTTCTAAAGAGGTGAGGCTTTATCACGCCCCTCTCTTGGGTGTGTTCCAGAACGTAAAGCAGCAGTATTACACGGGGTACACCGAGAACGAGCTGTTAGAAGTCATGCAGCACATGGCCAAAAACGTTGTGCGAGTGAACGAAAACCTGAGCAAGTTCATCGTAAGTACTTGCTAAGCTGTGAGAGGTATTGGCTGTGGTGTTTGCACATGTGTATCTCTTTGTTTGTGTTTTCATGGAAATATATTGGCCTCTGTGTGAGAGTTTGTTTCAGCACAAGCTCTATATTTTCCTAGCACACAGTGGATGGAGCATACCGACAAACACTGAAAGCAGTTTCTTTAACCAGTTCACTGCCACGCGTCCAAAACAGAAGCCATCCCCATTTCTTCCATGTGCGCTGGAATATTTACGAATTTATGTTACCATAATTTTTATTACAAACCTAGAGATGTCACTAACAAGTCTGATTTTAAAATGGGGCGATCCAAGTTGATATGCCAGGTTTGCGGCTACAGAAGCAGTTGGTGTGTGGGGAAGGTCCGCCGCTTGTGTCTGTAGATGCTTGTGGCGTACAGAGGGTTAAAACAGGCCAACCTTGTCCAGGCCCAGATTAGCCAGCAAGGCAGCTAGCTGTCCCACCGATATATCCATGCCTGTCCCAGCGCCCCGGGAGGCTCGGCCAGCAGGGAGGGCTGGTTAGCGTGTGTTCCGGAACAGCAGGGGCCCACTCAAATGGCCCAGAGGAAGGCTTGGGAGTCTGGGTGATATTATTGCTCAGAGCCTTTGTCCAGGATCCTTTGGGACAGTGACTGAGAGGCACCTGCATGGCAAGAAGCCCATTCAGGAACATCCCGTGCAGCCCACCTGAGAGAAGGAACCGGGGAGTTGGGCGCTGTCCTGTGCTTGTGTGACACAGAAGATCAGCTTCACAGAGGAAGGCGTTTGCACCCCGCACCCTGGTTTGCTTTCTTACGTGGAGCTTCAGCATGGTCAGCACACAGTGGAAGCATAATGTTTAAGCCCTGAGGGTATTGTTAAGCACAATCGCCACTCATGTTTATTGCCAGGCCTGGCCCTCCTGTTATATCCTGATGGTAGGTACTTAGGTACAGTAAGCACCACCTCCCCCCTTCTGGTGGCTTATGGGAGAGCGCCTTCTCCTTGGAGCTGGAGGTCATTTGGTCCCACCAGCTGGGCCTGCTCCCTCACTTGGCATGGAGGGAAGTGGTCAGGCCCAGCACAGTGTGGCCTCAGAGCGCTTGCTGGCCTCTGTGATTTGGCCTCCCCCTGCCATTGAGATTGTGGGTCTGGCCCTTCAGTACTTGTAAATTAGACAGGAACAAGTGTAAGGGGGGCATGCGGGGGTCCTGATGTGTCCTTAACCGCAGATGACTTCTGCAGGCCATCAAGAATAAGTATGCGAGCAGCAAGCTCCTGAAGATCAGCACGATTCCTCAGCTGAACTCGAAAGCCGTCAAAGAGCTCGCCCTCCCTGTGATGGGGCGGCCCTAGGCCCCGGTCCCCGAAGATGCTTCGTTTGGCCCCTTCTCCTCTCATTTGGAACTCCTGACTTTGTATGTAATTCTTTGGTCTACTCCATGAAACCTCTTCTCAGACCTATTTTCTAACTATATATTGAAGAAAAATAAAGCTATTGATTTTTCTTAAAGTATCCTGTGTGTATTTGTGCATTCTATACTGAAGAAGCCAGTAGACTCTTGCTTTGACTAATTTCTCTTTGAGCTAAATGCATATAAATTACTGCCTTTATGGCTTTGGGAAAGACCTTTCTGAACTTCCTACCATTTTCTCAAATGCAAAATCTAGAACTTGGCTTTAGTGATTGCCAAATGAGTCCTAAAGTTCTTGAATATGAAAAGATTGATTCATTATGAACATTTAAAAGGAGAGGCTAATCATGGCTATTCCCTTTCTAGAACCTTCTCAGTTATTCTCTTAATTCCCATAGGAACACCTGGCCCACTGGGACTGTGGCTACGACAAGTAACCATCACAATGGGTCTCAATCTCACAGGCTCACTGAGGCTGGGAATAGCAACCCTACGAAGCCTGTGACTTCCTGTTAAGTAAAAACGTGGAATGCAGTTTCCTGTTGTGCTGTTTCAACTATGTTATGGTTTTTTGTTTTTTTTTTTCAGTAGGCATGTGATCACATTTAACATTGTTTTTTAAGGGAGAATGCATTCTCAGTTTCCAACCACTGATTTAAAAAACAAAATCCTCCTAAAATAAACGAGTCTCTTATAGCACAACTTCCCAAACCATTAGTTCAACAAGATGCTAATTGGACTTTTGAGAAAAAGGAGTCATACATTTGGGAAACATCACTAGTGCATGTGAGATTCTTCAAGGTTCTGAGGTGCTTCAGTAAACTAAACCCGTTTCACTCAGTGTTTCGGAATGTGGATGTTGCTACAAGCTGCCTCTTCCCGACAGCGAAGCCAACAGGTGCCTGGTTTTGTGACTGGCTGTGACTGCCCCTAGGAGAGCCGCTCTGGCCAGGACTGGCTTCTCACCCCTTCCCCTGGGCAGGCCCGCAGTTGAAGCATTTAGATAGACACTGGGCGTCATTATATGTCGAAGTCCTAGTGTAAAGTCTGATAAATCCCCTTGCTGAGATAGTGGGACTCGTTCCCATGCCAGCCTCAGACATTGACAGCTCACAAGTGTGAATGGTAACTAAGTGAGACCCACGAGAGGGGGCTTCCCTGGCTCCTGACTTCCATCAGGAAAGTTTGTAGGCATACTCCAAAGACACTTATAGCTTCTTTATGACATACTCTGCTTAGTTAAATACTAAATACTCTGACCCAGGAAATTCCTACTTTCAGGATGTCATAAAAAGACCTTTAAGATACTTCCTTATGTGCCACAGCCCACCCACACTCATGTGTTATAAATGTGCAGTAAGCTATAAAGGTAGAAGTCGTAATATGAAAACACCGGAGTTAGAAAACGTGGTGATGTAACCGCAGTCTTTGGAGAGCACGCACCCTGACGCTGGGTTGTTGGGCCCGAGCCTGGGAGAGGGTGGCCTGTGGGAGCTGGGGTAAGAGTGTCCACCTCAGATGTGCTAACGTGTGTCAGGCCTGGAGCACGGTGTTTGGAGGCGCTCAAACGTGAGTGGCTGTGAGTTTACTGAGGCTGCTGGTCTGGGATGGACTCTGGGTATTCAAAGGTATGTTACATGCAGCTCTTGTCTATCAAAGGAGTTACACATGTATAGCTGTTGACTCCCTATTTGTGAGTTTTTCTTTTTAGGCTTTTGAATTTTGAGAGAAAGATATTAGATGCTTAAAGGTTGACAAATTAGACTGACTGTCAAACTCCTTAATATTCGTTGAAGACAGAGATTAAAAGCGTGGGCCTTGGGGTCAGATTGGGGTTCAAATGACCTCTACTTCAGAGCTATGTGATCTTGGGCACAGGAGTGAGCTGTGCTGAGCCTGCTCACTTGCACAGTGGAGATTTTAGACTAGGCCACCCCTTCCTCTCTGAAATCCTAGTGTCAAGTTTTATAAATCCGTTCCGGACTCCTCTCCTGGGCCTGTAGCTGGCTGACTCCACATCGTCTGCCCTCTCTGTGTGTCAGTCTGAGTCCAAATTTCCCTTTTCTGGGGATGCCGGTGCTTCCTAATTCTAACTTGATCACCTCTGTAAAGAACCTATTTCCAAATAAGGTCATATGCGATGGTACTGGGGATTAGGACTTCAAAGTATCTTTTTGGGGGAGATGGACCCAATTTGGCCCATAATAAATGTTGAGAAAGAACAAGGGGGTTCACTGATTCCTTTATTTATTAGGAGGTAAGGGGGCCGGGCACAGAGTGAGGCGGGGGGGGGGGGGGGGGGGGGGGAATTAGCTGTAGGGGAAGGGTTGGGAGGGGCTTGCGGGGCGGAGCTAGAAAGCAGTAACACTGATTCTCTAGTTGGAAGGAGTAGTGCACGTCAGTAAGTACCTCGTGCGAGTTTTGTAATAAAACCTACCTTATGGATAAGCACAGTGGAATACTACTTAGTACATTCATACATGTTTCTACCATCTCATTTTTTTTTTTATATATACAGTATATGATCTGTTTTTATAAATGTACAGCTTGAAAAAAAAGAGACCCTTCTAGTAATAGGTACAGCAATAAACACAAAACCAACATGGGCCAGCCACATTCCCACTGAAGACCCAGGAGAGCAAGGCTGACAGCCCAGCCCCCAGCCCCACGCAGCCCCGCAGCCCGGTGGTCCCAGCACGTGTAAACCAGCGCCCCTCTGCTCCCACGGGCTCGGCAGGCCAGGCCCGCCCTTGGCATTTGCACCGGAAGTGCCCCCTCACTCCTGCAGAGTGGGGCCCTCCCCGAGGGGAGGGGGCAGAGGGAATGTGTGTCAGGTGAGGAAGAGAGGGATGAGAGAAATGTGCTCTTCAACTAAAGGCACTTGTCAGCGGCCGCCCACAGCCGTTCCCTGGGCCCGGTGAGCGAGCGGGGGGATGCTCTGATAGAGCCAACAAGGTCTGCCTGGACCCCGCCCGTGCTCTGGCCAGGTTTAAATAGAATAAATAAATTTTAGCGGGGGGTTGTTTTGCCCTCCTGGGCTCCCATGAATGGGCCGTCTTGTAGGATTATTGATGGAGTGACGACGCTCTCCCGGACCCAGCCTTTCAACATCCTGGGGAAGGTGCCAGAGTGACTCCAGGCCTTGGAGAAGCAGTGACTCCTATAGATCAGAAGGAGAGCCCCAATGTCCCCTCCCGTCCGGCCTGGAGCACCTTCGCCCGCGTGCCAGTCTGTGCCGCTCAGATCTTGGTCACGTAGTTGTTGGGGAACAGGCCCTGCTTGCCGCGGAGCCGGCCCGTCCACCAGCCAGAAGGATCTGCAGGAAGACAGATGGCAGGAGTGAAGGGGGCAGGCTGTTCTACCCCGGCCAAGCGCCCCCGCCCACGGGGCAGCCCAGGGCAAGCGAGACTTGTCTCCAGCCACATTCTTTTTCCTTCTTTATTTTCTGTTACTTTTTCCATCAGCATTAATCCCCTCTGTGCTCTCTTCCACCTCCGCCCATCCCTCTAACCTGTCCCTTACAGTAGACACACCGGTGGGCCACTCAGGGCCCTCTTCAAGGAAGGACCTGCTGCCCAGATGTGAGGTTCTGGTGACAGCGTCCAGCTGTCGGTCCTTTAGGACTGAGATGAGGCTCTTCTTCTTTGGGGCAGCTGGGGCCCATGAAGCCAGGGCCTAGGCATTCGGTCTCTGCAACAAGCAGTCTAACGCTGGAGTAGCTGTGGGGCTGGCAGAGACTGGCTGTGTCCTGGTCTGATGGCCCCAGTCCTGCTTCTCCCCCCTTCACTTCCAACTCTTACCCCCCCACCCCCCCCAACTCCAGGCCCTTCGCTAGTAGTAAGTATTCGGTATATTTTCTTCCCGACCTTTTTCTGCAGTGGTTCTCAACCTTCCTAATGCCTCGATCCTTTAATATAGTTCCTCATATTGTGGTGACCCCCCCACCCCAACAATAAAATTATTTTCGTTGCTACTTCAGAACTGTAATTTTGCTACTGTTATGAATTGTAATGTAAATATCTGTGTTTTCCAATGGTCTTTGATCAATTGCTTTATTGGACATTAGATTATTTCCAGAATTTGTGCTGAACAAAGCTGGTAATAAAAATCCTGTTTGTGTTTACTAGAGTTTATTTCAATACTTATTTTCACTTGGACACTTCTGAAGAAGGATACTAACTGGCTTACACTATTAAAACCTGTGGAAAAGTAGATGATTAAAAAAAAGATTCAAAACAAAACACCAAAAAGCCCAGGGACCAATTAGAAGGAGTTTGGTCCAGGGACTAGAATCCTCCTCAGGGAGCCCATGCAGGAAGGAGCCTGTTAAAGACACGATTCCTGACCCCCTCCTCCTGAAAGCGGAACTTGCCGAGGACCATGCTCACTCCGCTGTCCTCCGAAGCCTGGGATGGCTCTACAGTGTCTTCCCGAGCCTGACACTCAGGGCCTTTGATGACCTCATCTCCCAGGTCATCTCCTTGGGGATTCTGCACCAAGGCCAGGCATCAGCTATCTTTCCTAAAACCACCTGTTCTTTCTAGCCTCTGTTCTCTCTGTCTGTCTCCCCCGCCTTCCCACAAATGCCATTTCCTTCATGGCGTGTCTTCTGTCACCGCAAGCCGGGAGTTATCTTTGTTTTTTATGCTTCCATAGGCACTCAGTTTGATTTTATGTATATTATATTCCAACTCACCTTCTCTACCAAACTAATAAAACATTCAGCCACTTTTAAAACGGACGTTACAGGCTGCCTCCCTGGCTTCCATTCCATCACCTTCATTGGGGGGACCATGAAGTTCTGGGGGGAGAGGCCAAGCTCCTGTTTCTAATACAGTCCCTGCAGGTCTCGCCCACTCGGGTAAGCCTTTGTCTGGCTTTGGAGATTGGATCGAGTGAGCACATGACCAATTTGGCCCAATCCCAGCGAGACTGAGCACTGTGTCCAGTGGCCAAGTGACCTTGTCTTGGAGACAGAGCAGCTTTCAGATCTGGTTTGACCTGTTGGTCTGGCAGTGAGGCAGCCATTCTGCTCCCAGGAGGAAAACCAGCCTGAGAAGGGAAGGGAGCAGCTGAAAGAAGATCTGAAAGAAACATTAAAAAAATGAATCTGGCCTGGCTGGCGTGGCTCAGGAATTGAGCGCCGGCCCATGAAGTCACGGTTCGATCCCCAGTAGGGGCAAATGCACAGGTTTCAGGGTTGGTCTCCAGTGTGGCGTGTGCAGGAGGCAGCCAATCAATGATTCTATCTCATCATTGATGTTTTTATCTTTCCCTCTTTGTTTTATATTCTCTCCTCCTTCCTCTCTGAAATAAAAAGTAAAAAATAGAATCTTACGTACCTTCTTTGATAATGTCGATAATGTCATTGGCATTGAAGCTGAGTTCATCTGTGTCCTGAGCGTCGTAGGCATACAGAGCCTTGCACTGTGGCACCTGAGGCTTGGGCTTGGGCTGGGGCTTGGGTCTGCCCCCTGCTGGGTTGGGCTTGCTGGTGGTCTGTCTCCGGACCCTGTGGAGAGAGGGAGGCAGGTGAGAGATGGTACCGGGCAGGGCAGCAGCAGCTCCGTGTAGTGGTCTAGATCAGCGGTCACCAACCGGTGGTCCATGAAGTCCGAAAGGTTGGTGACCGCTGCTGGTCTAGGCCCTGGGGCCAGCACTGGTCTGTTTGAGCTCCAATCCAGCTCCATCCTTAGAAGGATATGCCAGTTCCTAGACTTGTTCTGATAATAGAAACAGCCTTCCTGATAAGGTCATTGTAAAAGCATATAGCTAGCTCTCAATAAACATTAGCTGCTGTTACTGCACCCCCAGCATATTGTGGAAAAGATAGATTCATAGATATATGATAATAAAACAGTCACAAAGCTACTCCCTCCCCAACTTTGGACACAATTTTTGAGGGTGCCACAGAAGCCTCTCCTCAGCTGCCATCCCTCCCAGAGCGACCCCCCCCCCCCACACTTTGTATTAATAATTCTGGTTTTCTTTGTAGTTGTACAACACACATCTCCCTAAACAAACCACGCAGCGTGCTTGTTTTAACTGTACGAAGGAATCCCATTCTATTGCCCCTCACTCCATTTCTGAGATGTAGCCCGTTGATGTATGGAATTTTATTTTTTATTTTTTTAAATATATTTTATTGATTTTTTACAGAGAGGAAGAGAGAGGGATAGAGAATTAGAAACATCGATGAGAAAAAAATCATTGATCAGCTGCCTCTTGCACACCCCCCACTGGGGATGTGCCCACAACCAAGGTACATGCCCCTGACTGGAATCGAGCCCGGGACCTTTCAGTCCGCAGGCCGACGCTCTAGCCACTGAGCCAAACCGGTTTTGGCGATGTATGGAATTTTAGTTCGTTGCTCTATCCCACTCCACTCCATGCACATGTCCCAGTTCCCTGGCCCGCTCATGCGGATGATTCCAGCTCCATCACAGAAATGCTGCTGTGCCTGTGCTTGTGCCAGAGCTCACCCAGAGCGCTTCTCAGCTCAGCACTGCTGACATCGGGGCCACTTTTCTTGGCCGTGGGGCTGTCCTGTGCACTGGAGGGTGTTTACAACGTCTCCGGCCTTTCCCCTCTGGATGCCAGTGGCACCTCCTCCCTTTGGTCAAGATCATCAAAAATATCTCCAGTACCAGAACCCTAATCCAGCCCTCAGTGTACTCTCCCAATACACACCGCTGCCTCCTGCCACCATTCAGCACTGTCTCAGGCATGTAACTATCGCCTCTTCCTGTTAAAGGAGATCTTTAAACCTATACCTGAAACAGCTATTAAGTATGATCAGGAAAGCATTTAGAGAGAAAGGAAAAGGAAATAGAAATATAGACCTTCCCCCCTGCCCCCTTTGCTTAAGGACAAACCAAAGGGAAGTTAAGCTTAGAATTTCCTCTAAGAGGGTTGGGCTGAACTCAGCATAGCAGGGCTGGGGCTGGGCTGTTCTGTCTGGCGGGTCTGAGCACCTGCTCACACCTGGGGGAGGGGGGAAGGGGAAGGGGGTTCTCTCCTGGGGCCTGAGTTCTGGAAGGAACAAACACACCCGGTTCGGAGCTGTGCTCTCAGGAGGCCAGAGCCCCAGTGTCCTCGCTGAGGCCCTGTGATGCCAGGTGCTCACTGGGTGCCAGGATTAAGTTGGATGATGAGGGGGTAGCATAGGGGGAGGGGCACTGGATGTCAACAGGGTGCTAGGGCTGCTCTCAGCAGGGGTGGGGCTCCCTTCCTTTGTGGGAGGGAGCAACCCCAAGGTTACACAGACTTCATTCAGCCTCCTCAGGTCAACCATGTCCCCACCTCCCACCCCAGCAAGCACTTCCATCACAGAGGAAAGGCGCCTGGGAGATCAGCATACACCACTTCCTCCCTGGTCCCCTGGAAATCCCCAGTCCCTGCTGGCTTCCCTGAGAGCTGGCCGCCACACAGGCCTTTAATTAAGAGACCTGCGTGTTAGGAATGTCAGCATTTGGTTAATAAGAGCCACTAGCCGGCATATCAGCAGTCAGCTGATTTCCCAGCAACGGGGAGTGGGGTGGGGTGAGTGTCAGAACACCCTGTGAGGGAGGAGAGCTCCAGCTTGTAGTTCCAGGGAGCAGGGCGGGGAGGAACGAACACACACACACACACACACACACACACACACACACACACACTCCCCGGGTCCCCTAGATAAGGGAAACCTACCAACAGGGCAGGTTGATGAGGCATCTGGAGCCTAAAGAGTTGGGCCACAGGGGCCTTTCAGTGGAGCTGGATGACCCTGGGAGGTAGGACTATCCTCCTTGCAGCCATCCGGGCCGTCACCCCTCTCTGGCTGCTCTGCCCATCAGCCTCCAGCTTTGACTAAACCCTCAGTTCCTTCTCCTTCATTTCTTCCCTGCCAGCTGCTTTCTTCCTGAGCACCCTGAATATCGCCCCCGCTCAGCGTTTATTAGTTCACCTTGACCCCCTACTAAAACACTCCTAACAGCTTCTCTCTGCTCTTGATGTGGGAGGCAGTTAGACGTGAGCAGAGCCAGGGCGATGGGCCAGGCACAGAAGGTCACCAGGTGGAAAGGCCCAGGTGCCTAGCAATGGACAATCAATGGTGGGGTGGGACCTCACCCCCAGGGTCAGGAGGTTTGGACCCTTGAACCCTTCCTCCTTAGAGATAGCATCTAGGCCTCAGTGGTATTTCAGCTCCAGGCCCAGATAAGCAATAAAACCAGATAAGATTGCTGTGAGGACCAGCTGCTTTGAATAATGACCTCCTGCCCTAGTGCCTGCCAATCAATCATCAGAGACCACAGCCTTGAATGGACACACCTGGAAAGCTAGGAGATTCTATTGAGACCTTCCTCTGATCTCCCCTAAAACCTGTAGGATGGAGAACTCAGTGCCTCCCCCCTCTCTCCTCCCCTCCTGGCCGCAGGCACATTACCCTTAGCTTCCTCACACCCAAGCTCCTTGGGCCCTTCCTTCACCAAGATAACTTGTTTCCTAAAGCCCATTTCTTCTAGGAATTATGTTTTCTATCTCTGTGATTTACCCAATACGTGTTCTCTCATAGTCTGGGTCTGGACTCTAAGTGGTTTCCTACCCAGAACCCAAGTACCAAGGTTGCTGAACCCACGTTTGGTCTGACCCTTCTGGTTAGACAACTGTGCCATTCCCGTTGCCTATAACATTGGGAAATGGGCCAAAAAGGCCCCTGCCAGGTGTGGCCCCTACTGGCCCCAAACTCACATCCTGCCACAGGGCACACCGGTGCCTCCCCACCTTTGTCATGGAAGCCTCTGAGCCCTGGCAGGGGCCCCGTCCACACATTCCCAGCTCACGTCACACCTGCTGGTGAAAGACAATGCTCTCTCCGGAAGACCAGGAGCAAAATAGGGCATCAGCTCACACCATGTCCGCCCAGCACTGCACTGGAAGCTCCAGGCAGAGCAATTGGTCAAGGAGAATAAAAGGCACTCAGATTAGAAGTGAAAATACCACTATTTGCACATGTGATGATTTGCACGTAGAACATCCTAAGGAATACACTAAAATTAATAAATAAATAAAATTTAACAAAAGAAGGATGGTTCTCTTTATATGAAATGTCCAAGAAAGGCTAATTTATATGGACAAAAAGTAGATTAGTGTGGTTGTCTAGAGCTGGGGTTGGGGGTTGGGGAGTGATGGCTAATGGCAGAAAACTTTGTTTTTGGGCGATGATGAAAATGTTCTAAAAGTAGATTATGATGACAATTGCGCAACTCTGTGACTATACCAAAAACTGTTGAATTATACTCTAAAACAGTTGATTTTTTTTTATCCCCCCAAAAGCTGGTTAAACAACACACACACACACACACACACACACACACACGAGTAAATTGCACGAGCCCCTTGGGGCGCTGCAGTGGACTGCGGACGCCCAGAGAGAGCCGGGCCAGCTGTGGGCAGCAGCCGCTGGCGTCCCAGGAACCGGGCAGAGTGGAGGAGGGGCTGGAGGTGTGAACACAGCCACCGCAGGGTCTCTGATCCCAAGGCACCAGAGGCCAGGTCCTCAGAAAAATCAAAGTAAAACCTCAGGGATTCCTGGGGAGTTTGGGCTCCCGGGTAGACCCCGGGCAGGTTGTTTGTCCCAGGCCCTGGACAACCGCTACCATCCTGGCAATGTAAACTGGTCCCTCCTCAGTGGGCCCATGGAGCTCCCAGCACTCCACAGTTGGGAGGGGGAGTCCGGGTGGCTCTGAGGTGGTGCGGTTGCTGGGGAGAGAGTGTTGGATGTGGATGTGGAGAACAGCTCTGCATCCCTGAGGTCACCATGCTGGGCTCTTTCTTGTTGAAATGTCCTCTGTACCCAGGAGGGGGCGACACTGCTGTTGCAAGGCAGAGTCTCCCCAAAGAGTGGGAGACGCAAAGCCCTCCTCCTCACCAGCACTCCGGCAGCACTGACACATCTGGGCACGTCTCCACTCTCCTCGCAAGTGTCAGCAGATGGTGTGCCATCTGGGAACCCCTGCCTGTAGCTGCTTGAGATGCAGACAAACGTGCCGGCTCTGCCTGCTCCGGGTGAGGCACCGTGCTAGGCATTTTCAGACGTTGCTTCATCTAACCTCACAACACTCCTGGGCTTCCTGCTGGTCTCATCGCCGATGACTTGACTGACTAGACGGCAGAGGCACAAGGCTCTCACTGCTCTTAGCCACACGACCTTTCTGGTCCCTCCGTCTGGCCATGCTCCCCTGGCTGCCTCCACCCTCTGCCTCCACTCTCTACCCAGTACTGTGAATGCCTGCTCAGCCTTCCAAGCTCATCTCAAGCCCCTGCCACGTGCTCTGGTACCCAACCTGCTCCGAGCAGGGGTCTGACAGGGTGGGACAGAGGCTTGTGTCACTATTAGGACAGGAGGCTGCCCGGGACGGGACCTGGCCTGTTGGTGCTCACCAGGCCCAGGAGCACCATGTGGCCCCAGCCAGGGCACAGAAGGGACACCGGCTCAGAGTCGGTGTCCCAGGTGGGTGGCCCGGCTCTGCC